CATAACAAACGTTAGATGGCATTTCATTTTGATATCAGTGATTAAGCAACATGCCCTAAGCACGCAAAATACTATCATTACAATTCACTCGCCTTATTACTCAAATTAGAGACCATAAACTTCCTTGGAAAAATATAGACCTATTATAGATCAAGTAAATTCCCTTCATAAACACAAACTTGGGTTAAGCGAACTAAAGCTAAATAGGTTCCGTGACAAGCTATGGATGACCCAGTAGGAGATCGTCATTACGTCATCCGCCACAAATGCCGTCCCAGGGCTCCTTATTTACTATTGTGATGTATAACGAGAACAAAATTGTCTATTCCTACATCATCAATGTGAAACCAAATTACTTATCCTACATTGCGTTCAGGTGAAACGGCATTATCTCTTTATACACTGTATTCTGGTCCGAGTAATTGGTCTGTTCTTACACTAAATTTAAGTGAAACAGTATGGTCTACCTATACATTGTGTTAAGGTGTAACAAAAGGGTCAACTTATGCTAAACGGTTTATTGTTACTGTGTCCAGGTGAAACAAAGTGATATAGGCCGTCACTGTGTTAAAATGAAACAAAATGGTCTATTCCGACACAGAGTTCCAATGAAACAAAGTGGTCTATCATGACTGCATTTAGATAAATCAAAATAGTTCGGACCGCCATTGCGTTCAAATGAAACAAAGCGGTTTATTCCTACTCTGTGTTTAACTGAAACCAAATAGTATTGCTACGCCGTATTCAGGTGGAACAAGGCCGTCTATTTCTACGCTGCATTCAGGCGAAACAAAATCGTCCACCTCAACACTGGGTTCAGGCGAAACGAAATGGATTATTCCTACACTGTGTCCAGCCATAATTGTGACCCCATCACATCTCCATCTCCGATGGATATTTACGACTAAATAAACAACGTACAATGAAATGTCCAATTTACAATTATTTTGGAAGGAAGCGTCCATAAAACATTCAAAACTTTGCCACATTCACTCTCCTCAAAAAGTGGCAACAATTATCCGCGGCTCCAAATAAACGCTTACAATCTACATAATCATTGCAATCAATAATCATATGTTACTGATGAAAATTAATCAGCGGCAGAGCTTTGAACAACACCATCATGTTTTTGTTCACAAAGCCAATCAGCAGTTAACCAATACGCGATATTCCATTTTACGAAACATGTTATTGCTCTAAACACCACGATGTTAAAAGAAATTGATTGAGTTCCCATACAATATATCACTATTGTCATACACGCATGAATATACACAGCTCTTATCAACATTTCCGCACCAACAGATTCAAAACAAACATTATGAAAGACAAAAACACTCTTAACGGTAAAGCTGCAGACATGGACTCGCTTTGACCTTCACGTTGGGATTCACGGACGCTGCTCCTGACAGTACTGCATAATGAGGCTATTATCATCCTATTAGTTTTACGTATATGGGTCACGACCACTCCCGGCCCTTGAGCGCTACCCAGCAATGAGAAAATATTTTTAATGCTCGCTGGAATGCCATTTTCACCTGGAAACGGCCAAGCGTTATGGAGTGGCGAGATGATTATCCTAACTCTAAGTGTGAAATAGAGTTGTTAACTGTTAAAGAAAGAGAAAAAAGGAAAAGAAAAAACTCTCCCACGACGACAAGGTACGAACCTGGCATCATGAAGAAGGCGTCAAAGAAACAAAAGAATGGAGACAAAGATTAAAAAAGAAAAAGAAAGAAAGAAAACAAACAGACGATGCCGGCGCTGTGCTGCACAGAAGACGGGCGGGGAATACCCTCCCGCGCTCTTATCCTCAGAAGTTAAGAAAGCCGACGATCATAAGTGTCCCGACGAGGTTTTATGAAGCGCCCGGTGACTCTCTCACACAGACTCGCGCTCTCCCGCTTCGCCGAC